CGTATAGTACAGGATGCAAAAAATTATTTACCCTGCTAAATATGAGCTTCTCCAAACAGAATTATGAATCCTCATATCTTCCGACTTATTATCTTTCTAGAAGTCTTAATGTCTTCCAACTTAATTATTCTTCCAGAAGACTCAATGTCTTCCAACTTTGTAATATTCTCAAAGACATTAAATCTTTTTACTTAGGAAAATTCTAGAAGGCAATTTAATTCATATTCTTCATTTGATTAAATAATAAAACATTGCACTAGAGTAATATTATTGATTTCCCCATCTAGCTTCGAATAACAATTAATTCTTCTTCCAACTTGTCTATTGACTAATTGCTCGATTTATCTCTCCATATTTAAGATATAACGTCCATTGATTAATTTAATTACTGACAATATAATTAATCAATTTTTTTTTTTTTTTATCTCTTGGGTCCGAAAATTGTACCACTCAATTCATTATCTATTATGTGGAAAATTAATCCACCAGCCGGGCTTGACATAATAATCCTTCTTGAGCTCATTTCGAGGACGTCATCAACCAAGCTTACCGAGACAGGGTGACCGTAAACAATCTTAACGGCACATCATGCACTCGACATTATATTCTAAAATACAGAGTATGTCGACCTAATAAAATAAGTCTCACTCATAGTAACTCAAATAAATAAGTATCGAATACGTATGCCTATTTATTGTCTTACGAATTATGAGAATGCAACAATTACCGAGGTCTAGATTATTTACATAGTCAGTATTCAAATAATTTTCTCCTTCGAGGTTCATTCAATACTTACAAAGTACTAGTATAATTCATCAGTCAAAGATCAATTGAATCAAAATCACACTACAGCCTTTTACCAACAGGTTGTTCAATTTTGTCTAGACTGTGAATTGATATTTATATTTTAGAAGACACCGATAATGTGATCTTTTTGTTCGAAACATCATACCACACTATATAACATTTTAAATAAAGGAACTATGTTCGTATAAATAAAATAAACTACGAACAATAACTTGACCAAAGACACACATCTCATTCAAAATGAAATTCAGAGTAATCACAAAGTTGAAGTTCTACAGTATACTCCAACACCTTTAGCTCTGATACCACTTGAAGGGGTATCACAACATGCGTAGCGGATAAAAATACTCTCACAACAAATAATGACAAGTACTACTACTAACCGAAATAAGACAACATAAATAAATAAAAGATAAGAAAGGAAAACACACAAAAATGATAAAGAAGTTCGACCGATATTGCCTATGTTTTCGGGCACCGCCAATCGTAATGACAAATTTTACTCAATTCACCAACAAAATACAAATAGGGTTAAATAACCGATAAATTAGGATTTCTTTAAATAACAATTTTCTTCTACGATTAAAAAAAAAATAAAAATAAAAATAAAAAAATAAAAATAAAAAAGAACAAGATAGTAAAGTGCAATTATAACCCCAAGGCAATGAACTTGTTTATATTAAAAAAATCCTACATATCCAATGTGGGACAAACATTAATCAAAATTTAAAAAAATAATCTATGCTTTAATTTCGGGTAAAGGATACATATCTGAATTCAATCTATACCTATTCTAATTTTTAAATTATAAAATACTTGACTAATTTAAATTATAAATATATTTAAAAGTTAATAATTTTTATATTTGTTATTAATTATTCTTGTATAATATATCAATTAATAATCTTTTAATAAGTTTCGATTTGATATTATTTTTTGCATATAAAAAAAATCAAAGTTTTTAATTTTTGTTATTATAAAATTAAATCATCTTTTAATATTTAATACTAATTATAAATTAATTAAATTATGTAACAATTAGAAACTTCTCTACAAATTATCCTATGAATTAAAAATATTATTGTAATATATAGGGCCAATTGTATAAATGAAAGCTCTCATTTTAAATCTAAATATTATCATACTTTTTTATAAAGGTTTAGAAATTTAAATGAAAAACCGTTTCTCTTACATTTTTACATGCAATTTTTCAAAAAATATTTGAAACTCGAATACAGAAACTTCTCACTTATAATTTTTTAAGAATTTCGGAATAAAATATTTAAACCTGCACCCATGCAATCAAGGTTGTGCTGAATTCATAATTAAGTAAGATGCAAACTCTAAAAATAGTTTCAAATCCCAAAATCTATACTTATATTAAAGGGTACTATTTACTAAATTAAGTAGCCAAAAAAGTCAACAACATTTATTGCATTACTATTTCCGTATTATACTATATAAAAGGATATTCTATTTACTACATTTACTATCCAGAAAAGTCAACTGCATTAAATGTCATTACTATTTTGGTATTATAATATTTTATTTATTTAATTGATTTATTTATTTGTTTTATTTTAAAAAGGTAAGTATAATAAAAAGATTTTAATAATAAAAAAATCAAATACTAAATAAAAATGTATACTTTGACTTATTTGATTATATTTGGTATTTGATTATACCAAATATATTTCTATTTAGTATATACATTAAATACTTACTAAAGTATTTATTTGTTTTATTTGTCAAAGTTAAGTATAGATTTGTTTATATTATCAAATCATAAAAAATTATTAAATCCATATTGTAAAACAAAATCATATAATTTTATAACAATTCTACTACACTATTTAACAATATTCCTTTTTTATTATATAATAAAATAATAATTAAATATTATATGGTGAACAACAATAAGTAAAACTGTTACTTTCTCTTATATCAAGGGATAAATTTATATGCTAAAATTAATTTTTTATTAGTATAAATGTTTTAGTGAGATAATATATTAATTATTTTACAAGCTAGCTCTAACATGCTCATATTTAATGTTTTAAAAGATGTAGAAAAAAAACTTATAATAACTCTATTGTTTTTTAGACTTAAACGTTGATTAAAAGAGGTAAAAATTCCTAATTTTTTAGACTTAAACGTTGATTAACACCATAGATTGAGAGTTTATATTTAGTAAAATTCCTAATTGTAATAAAAAAAATAATTTTTGCTATATTTTAGAATATCTTTAAATTCATTATAAAAAAAAAAGAAAAAAAACTACAATGAAAAAAGTAAGTCAGTTATATATCGATTTGTCGTACTCCTCAAATCACATTCACAATTTGGTTACAAGGAAAGGAAACTCATTGATTAAAATATTATTTTGTCAGTAGTCTTAATGTACAAGAGACTTTAAGACTCCACTTGAATATTATAAAACTTTTATTGAACATTGTACAATTTCTTGCGTATTATAAACTTTTATTAAATATTGCATCTTATAATATAATATTCTCTAAATAAATATATCTCGTGTTTCGCACGGGTCACGTACTATATATATCCCGTACATTTTTCTTTATTCATGTATATAATTACAAGTCTGGATAAATAACCTTAAAATTATGCACTCCGTGCATCGCACGAGCTCTGTACTAGTAGTAAATGAATTATATAAAGAAATCATGAGTCAAGAGCTTCACATTAAAATCATGAACTCGTTATGCAACCATGACATAATAATCTCACCATTCAAATATCCCACGAACTCCAGCTTCCACAAGCACAACGAAGGGGCATATCCATCCATAAATATTACTAGGGACACAAATCCGTATAATATCGATTACCAAAAACTGCCGACTACAATTAGTCATTAGTTAATTAAGTGAGAAAGCCTCTAATCAGTCCGACAAGTAATGGGCCATCCACGCACGAAAACGGAGCCATGCCAAGTTACTTACTGCTTCAGCATTTTCATCATTTATTCCCATCCTTCTCTTTCTCTCAATCCCTTCAGGGGACCTGTTCATGAAGGCGTGCCCGACTCCCTTATATATGAACACCTCATGTTCGACAACCCTCACTTCCAATCCGAAACGTTTTGCTGTCTGGAACAAAGTTATGTACCAAGAAACAAAATATAAACAAAAAATATACCCCTTTTAGTCTTCAAGTATATTGGCAGCTCTTCAAATTTACCGCATAACACAGATAAATATTATATCATAGGTGTGGTTTGCCAATGGCTCAAAAGTTAATATGAATACTTTAAATATAGTTCTATGAAGCCCAATCTAGACATAAAGCCAAAAATCAGTGTTTCAGGCAACAAGTGATGATACTGATAGTTGGAGCATCTAAGTCGTTGGAGAAGTTTTGACCTTCTGGGAGTGGTTTAATATGCTGAGGGACAATTTGTTGCATGAGGAACTACATAATCAGAAAGACAGAAACCATTTAAGTATGGCTAGGGGAAAAAAAATATGAAAATTGAGAATTGTTTCATTAAATCAAGATTCATGTTTGAAAACCAAAGTAGTTAGAATTCTAAATTTGTTTGCTTCTAGATTAAAGAAATTTATCAAGAAACTTCAAGTACAATATCTCCAAACCTTTTAATGTAGGAATTAAGACAGGAAGTGGAAGTTCCGAAATATCTACATGTTAATTGTTATCAAAGAGAATCAAGGCAAAAGAATCTCGAATATACACACCGATCATACCTCAACATCCGAAAAACCAGCAAAGATATCACGTTGACCAAAGTGAGCCTGCACCGGTGCCTTAGCTTCGGTGACGTCCGCAAGCTCAGGCGAAGGCACTCCATAAAATGATGCCACAGCATCAACCCCCGGGACCAATACAGAACTTGCAATAGCTAGGGCACTACCCATGCTAAACCCAGTAACACCAACCTATAGCAAATCTTACTAGTAAAACAAGTAGAAATTATAGCTGTCACACTTGCAGAGTTGTGTCACCTCAAAAATGAGCTAAGTAGAGTAAAATTATCTTAAGTTAGAAATCTATTCTTTGAGGGTCCTCACAATGTAAAAGTGCTCAAGTTGAGCAACTTCAGTAAAAAGCGAAGTGGTTTTGACAACTCCTAGTATCCAAGGACTATTCATGCAATACAAGTTTTCAAACTCCAAATATGGCATGGAATAAAACTCATAACATAAAATCAAAGATTCAAATCATTAACGGAACAAGTGGCTGGTTATGTATATCCCGTAATGATAAGCATTCGTGGTTATAAGGAAATAAAGAGATACTAATGTTCCAAACTTTCTTTCTTCTTACGTTGAAAGATTCATCATACATTGAGAAATTTCATCGCCTAGCACAATGTCAATTGGAATATAATAGGAAAACAACTTCATATAGATACATGTTTATTTCTCAACACAACTAAAACAAAGTTAAAAACACACGTAATTAGCACCGACTATGGACTTCTTTATAGAATTCTGCCTGACAACTAAGAAATTTAGACATTATAAAACGCCACACACCTTCTTAGAACCCTTTGCCTTGAGCCAGTTGACAGAGGCTTCAATATCCTTCACCGCACCTTTCCAGTCAAGACCATCCATCAAGTGTTGAGCTTCAGCAGCACCTAGACCAACCTTCCCTCTGTACAAGCTATTGACAAGAAAAGGAAAAGGATAAGATAGGGACATCTACGAACACCTTAAGAGAAAATTACAACCATAAAACAAATAGAATAATAAACATCAGAAAAAAAGTGTAAATCTCAACTTGCATGAACAATACTCTTTTTCTTACTCTGGTATCAATGCTTTGTAACCCTTATCGAACTGGGTAATCTTCTGGGCATGATTCTTGATCTCAAAATCAACACCCCACCATTCTTGAAGCACAACAATCCCCGGTGCATCATCTCTCCCAATGACATAGGCGGAGAATGTCTACTCAACAAATTTTCCAATCAGGAAATATCTCAAAAACATACATAGCTAAATGCAAAAGCTTAGACGTATACATTTGACACAATAAAACACAATGAAATACATGTGAAAATACATCCACATAGATATCAATTTCTAACCATTAATGTTTTCTGATAGATAAAAACAGAATGGAATTAAAATTATACAGTCAAAGAACCCACACCCATTTTGCAAATGATTATTGTACACGAGGAGATATTCACTAAAAGTTCCATATATCTCCTCCCGAATGAAAACTAATAAATAATATATTAGACCAAAAAAACCCTAACTAAAGAAAGTGTAAACCATTTTTGTTCTACAAATTGTGAAAACGATGGAGCCCAAAAAAAATTAACCCTACCGAGTTATCTCTCTCAATCTGGACTTTCTTGAATGGCGAGGAGACGTCGGCAATGGTCGCCATTGCACGAAACTGACGGAGTGAATTGGAGGGAAGGAAACGGGTATTCACGGATGAGAATCTTGAGAAAGAAGAAGTCTTCGACCTGTTTACGAGGGGTCTGGCAGGAATTCTGCAACCGTAGGACGCCATGGCTGTTCGAGTTTCTACCAGTACTGGAGGCATCGTGTTTTCTTCGGGTTCGGGGCTGCTTGGCAAACTTACAGGTTACAGCAGTCCAGTCCCATCGGTTAAATATCAAGTCATTGGATTCATATTGAGAAG